GTATATACAACTAATAGTTAGAGTCAGAACACGTTCATATTATCTAAATAACTCTCAAATGTTTGAAGTTTTTCAGTCCGGCTTTAAGCCGTTTCATAACACAGAGACAGCTCTCATAAAGGTTATGAACGATATTCTGGTAGCGACGTACTGCGGTAAACACGTAGTGCTTATACTTCTAGATATGACTGCTGCATTCGACACAGTGGATCACGACCTGCTGATCTCTCGATTACAGCATTGTGTAGGCATTTCTGGCTTGGCACTCCTGTGGATAAAATCATATTTCTCAAACAGGAGCTTCTGTGTTAAGTTGGGTTCATCATCGTCCTCTGTGGCCCCTCTGCCATGGGGTGTACCACAGGGATCTATTCTTGGGCCATTACCGTTTTCGTTGTGTCTCTGGGTGCAATCTTTCGTAAACACAAAGTCTCATTTCATCTATATGCTGATGATTGCCAGCTTTATTTTTCTTTCAGTCGTTCTGATAGCTCCCCAATTAGACTCCTGCTTGATTGCCTTAGCGATTTTAAGTCATGGATGGCTCTAAACTTTTTTAAATTTTAATGAACGTAAAACGGAAGCAATTCTGTTTGGCCCGAATCGTTCCTCTGATATCCCTGATGTTGACCTTGCTGCTCTGACCCCTCACCTGAAGAGCTCGATTACCAATCGTGGGTTAAAAATCGACTCTGCACTTACTTTTGATGGCCACGGGAATGGGGTGGTGAAATCATCATTCTATCAACTCAGGCGTCTGTCGAAGGTTAAACCTTTTCTTTCAAGGCGTGACTTGGAGACTGTCATCCATGCGTTTATAACCTAATAATAGGGGTTGGACTGGGCACTCTGACACGCCTGCAGCTAGTACAGAATACTGCGGCATGGTTTTATCTGGTAGAAGGAAATTTGAGCACATTACCCTGGTTTGGGGTTCCCTTCACTGGCTTCCAATTGAATTTAGGATTCATTTTAAATTTCTTTTATTGGTTTTTAAATCCTTAAATGGTCTGGCACCTGCATATGTCTCATTTGCTGAAGCCCTATGTCCCCACTCGTTCGCTCCGGTCAGCTGAGCAGCCGTTACTCCAAGTCCCCAAATCACGGCTGAAACTGAGAGGAGACCGAGCGTCTCTATCGTGGCTCCAAAGCGTTGGAATAATCTTCCTCGAAGATTATTATTATATTAATAATCAACATCAGTGCTGGTTTTTAATCCAGATTAAAAATGCATTTTTATTCGCTGGCTTTTGACTCAGTGGTTAACTGACTTGTATTTACTTATACTTATACTTACTGTTTTTGCTATGTTTATTATTTTATCGTATTTATTATTCTTATTGTATCTATTATATTTCTATTGTTCAGCACTTTGGTCGGCCTTGTGTGTTTTTAAAGTGCTATATAAATAAACTATGATGATGACGATGATGATATGAAGAAATAATGATTACGAGTGCCTACCTGTACAGGTGGGTCAGCGTGTTGGATGTTGTCCTGCAGGTGACTCATCAGCATCAGGTCACGTGCCTGGTACCAGCGTGAGTGCAGAGCATGGTGATATATGTGGCAGAGGATAGCACAGGTACGGATACGGTCGGTGCGATCCTTGGCGTAGATGAACTTGCAGAGGCGGTCCATGATCACAGCGCTGTCCTCTCCCTCGCTCTCCTCCTTGTTCTCCTCCTTGTTCTCCTCTTGTCTCTGGTCCTGCTCCGACTACACAACAGAAAAACACTTCAGCACACCATTTTACACCTTATGCATAACATTTCATTAAACATCATAAAAATAGCATCATGATGCAGATGTTTGTCAAGAAAAGTTCTGATTCTGCACAGTGCCGTCTCTCACCTTGGTCTCTCCCTGCAGGCCCAGGCTGCGTCTGTGAGCTTTGTAGTCAAACTTGTAGTAGGTGTGCATGATTCTGCGCAGGTAGACACGGCAAATTTCTTCTGTGGAGCCTTTGTTCTCCATGTAGGTGAGCAGCCGGTCAATGATGCCACAAACCCTGCCCTCATCTTTGAGATTGTCAACGTATTCTGAAGGAAGATTTTAAAAAAAGAGAGGAAAGAATAAGCAAAATACATCCATATGAGCAGCAAATACAGCAATACAAATTTCAAGGGTGATGTAAATCCCACATTTTAGATTGCAACCCATTAATCCACATTTACAGTCCTAACACATTCACCCTCATAGCAGTTAATAATCGTCACTCAGGTTTTGGCACCACTCACCCTGAGAGTGGGGATCAGTGTTCTGCATGATCTTTGTGAATTCTTCATCCATCCTTTCTACCAGGGTTAAGATGCATCCGCGCACCCTGAAAGGCTAACAAATACACACAAAGAAATTAATACCAGCCCATAGTTCACAAGACCGTTGATACAAATGCAGACAGTTCAACAGCTATGTGAGTGTTTTATTAGTCTAAACTGCTTTCTTTCTTTAAGTCCACAGATTGCTTGGGGTGGATGAGTGGGATCACCTGATCGGAGACGGCCAGATTCTCGCTGTCCTCTGCGATGTTCTCTCCGATGAAGATGTTGTTGTGCTCAAAGAGAATGTCCAGCAGCTCATCTATACAATCCAGACACTTTTTCCACATGTCAGGCTAAAAAAGGAGACAAGCCAGAAGAACTATAAATAATTTTTGTGATGACTTGCAATTTTAAGATATTTCATGTAACATGAAACACTACAGTAAATCACAGGAACCCTTTTGGTTTTGTTGATACTGTAAGAATTAAAAGCAGTGTCACTCACTTTCATGAAGGCTGCCAGGTTGGGGTTGTAGTCGTACAAGGAGGCAATAATGTTGAACTTGATCTTGACCAGGATACCTTGGCCCAAGTTATTCTCTGCAGCGATGGCTGCCAGAGCATGAAATAGCTCAATTTGAGCCGCCCTGTCAGTGAGAAAGGAGAAAAAAGAAGAAAAGGAGTCAGGATTTGTTCAGGAGAAGAATTTCTCTGAAATTCATATACTGGACATACTTCCACATGACACGCCTGGTTTTACATTGACTGGATATCAACAGTCGTGTGAATACGTAACTTTTTTTAAATATATATTTTTAAGCTTTAGTGATAAATGCAGTCTACCTGTCTGTTCCCTTTTTGCCTCTTGCTTGCAGGATCTCATTCAGCTTCTTCACCACCACCGCTGTGTTGATCTCGGTGCCTTTAGCAAACATTTTGGGTTTCTCCTGAATGGTCGCAATGGGGAAAA